GGTACCATAAAGACTCTTATGATTAATATTACTAATGATAAGGGTGATATTCTGGACAGTTACCTTTCTGGATAGAGATGAATATATTGGTTCATTGACAAGTTTATTAGAAATTCTTATAAAGAAAAGAAATGATGCCAAGGGAATGAAGAAACAACATGAAGAAGGATCTTTTTACCAAAGTCTCTATGACAAACAACAATTAGCGTTCAAGGTTTTGGCGAATTCCATCTATAGTTTGACAGGTTTACCTTCATCCATCATTAGAGATGTGAAGATATCAGCGGGTGTTACATCCACTGGTAGGGAGCAGGTTCACAAGTTGGCCAGTTTTATCAAGGACCAGGGGTACTGTGTTGTGTATGGGGATACCAATTCCACTTTATTGATAATGCAACAAGCTAGACTCAAGGAAATTATCAATGATTATGTGGTTTTGTTTAGAAATGCAAATTCTATCACAGAATATACCAAGTACCTTTATGATTTTTACAATGATGTGACTAAAGAAACTCATTGGGTAGCGAGTAAGATTGCCAAAAAATTTAACGAATTGAATGCCCGTGATGGTTGTGAGATTATTAGGGTGGTTTTAGAAAAGGTTTTGGTGTTCATGACATCATTTGATAAAAAGAGATATGCTGGGCTTTCGATGGAGAAACCAAAATTTGAATGAGATGATTCATAGTGTAAGACTGAAAGGTTTCTGGCACAGCATTTTGAAATTTATGATCCTGAGTTAGTACCAGACTTGTTGGTTGAAAAGTACTTGGAGGAGACTGATGATATGGTCTGCTTGGCCAATATGAATCATTATTCCAATAACCTGATAAGAGGTTTAAATATTATGCGATGTGAGGCCAGTCAATTTCAAAAGATGTTTGAATGCAAAGTGTTGTACAATGTCTATGATTATAAAAAAATAGCTGAGTATATGTACAACCTTGGGCTTAAAACAACTGATGACTATGTGAATTTTTTCATGTGTCGGGGACAATACAACTGGATGTGGTATTGTGCAGATCAGGTTCTGGATAAGATGATAAATTTGGCTTTATCAAAGGGTGTAAAATTAAACATTAGCATTTTTGCCAAAAATGCAAAGGTGTTAGAGGATAAAATAAATATTACTACTATATGTAATAAGATACAATATAATAAAGGGTGTGGCGACTTAGTGAAGTGGTGGAGTTGTTGCACCCCCAAATGGCAGGTCTAGGGTTCAAATCCCACAGATGACAATTTTGAAAAAACTAGATCTGTATCAGTTAATGTTAAGATTATTGGTTGGATCCAGATATCTGTAATCCTGGTCACACC